TGGGACATTGTACGAAAAGTCAGCACGGATAGTGCGCGCAACATGATTGCAGCGTCCAGGCAGCTCCCGTTCGAGCATATATGCCTTGAGCTGCACATAGCTCCAACGATCCATCACAGTGTCTCCACATTCATTCACTCACACTCTCTCTCTCACACTCTCTCTCACACACACACACACACACACACACACACACACACACACACACACACACACACACACACACACACACACACACACACTCTTTGTATTGTATGAGAGAGGTTCCAGGTTGAATTGAGGTGAATATTTGTAATGTTCAGAGGTTGTTGTGTTTAATATTCATGAGAATATTTGTCATTGTTCAAATGATAATAAACAAACATATAAAGCATATTTGTCCACTCGTATGTTGATAAGAGTATTAAAAACTTGAAAAATATCCCTCTAAGGTACATTTAGAACAGATAAAAAATCGCGATTAAATATTTTAATCGACTGACAGCCCTAATTTAAACAGTTAGTCTTCGAAAATAAGGATTCCCTCTTCCCTCAGCACACCTGTCAGGAGTGAGGAATATTAGACTAAATTCAGTTCAATTAATAATAATAATAATAATATGTTTATCATATTCAGGGCTTCACAGGGTATTTACTTAGTGTTGTTGGTAAGTGCTCCCAACTCAATGTAGACTGTTGGCTATGACCTGTGGTAGTTACTACTAGACACTTCTGCCACTTCATCACAGAAAATCTTCAAATTCAACCTCAATTTCAGTAATATTAGCCCCCGTTGCTACTTCTGAAACATATCTACTCATGATAGGAAGTGTGGGATCCAGCGTTTTTCTGTTTATCTATGCTGTGATCCTGATTTAGTAGTACTGAATAGGTGGACGATATGGCCAAAACCTTTATCTAATCCTATCTTTATATCAGATCCAGTAATTATACTGTTAATTAAAACTGCGGTCGCAGAAGTGCGCGCAGTGATGAGCGGGCCCACGCGTCCGTGCGCCTGTCGGGGAGGGCAGCCGGTCGTCCCGGCGTCAAGCAGACGCAAGAGAGTCCTCCGAAATGAGCCGTTTATCATTTCTATAATTTCTCGACGGAAAACACATTTCTCTAAAGGCTCGTCGAGGATCGATTATCGAGGGGGCTGTATGGAGGAGCCGTAACCGAGGATATACTGATTTAGAGGAGAGAGGAGTCTCTTTGGAGGAGCTATAACCGAGGGTACAAAGATGTAGAGGAGAGAGGAGTCTCTCTGGAGGAGCTATAACCGAGGGTACACTGATGAAGAGGAGAGAGGAGTCTCTCTGGAGGAGCTATGACCAAGGGTCCAAAGATGTAGAGGAGAGAGGAGAGAGGAGTCTCTCTGGAGGAGCTATATCCGAGGGTATACTGATGTATTCTCCGGAGTCGATTTCAGCCAACAGTGATGTTGGCTGGAGTTATGTCAACGAAGCACAGCTCTGCAAACTGTTCCCGTTGTGATAAGTTATTTAAGATGATCAAATGTGCATCAGACTTTCTGCCCTTTACCGTTTGTTTACTCACTAATCACATCTCCCCTGGATGTTAGGCTATTTATTATACAACTGCTTTCATTGTGACGCGATGTTTACAGTGAGAACAGCTGCTGAGGTCAGTGCAGAAAGCAGAACAGTGTGTATAATATATATCGCTCAATAATATATGTAACAGGCCTACATTTCACACTTTATTTGTAGGCTTTAGTGTGTGTGTGTGTGTGTGTGTGTGTGCCAAAATGTTATATGAAAAGCAATTTGAAATATGTGTGCAATCATAATAGCAATGTGTATACAGCGTTTCGTGAATATCGGAAAAACTATATGCGAGTAGTTTGGAGTAATTTGCGACATGTAAATCGTCAAAAATTGTGTATTCGCTGTTAGCTTACGACCTCCACGATTGAGCTATCAAACATTTTCTTCGCAATTTAGCATCATATTTGGATAGGGGCTGAACTTGTCCTGGATTGGAATTTTTCCGATCATTCCCCTAGGAGGAGTTGGCAAGAATGTGCTTAAAATGCATGAAAAACGCAATTTTTTCAAAATGGCCGACTTCCTGAGGGGCGGGGCTAATGGAAGCTATTTACAAATATGTCCGCAATTCCATGAGGAATGTCTGTGCTAAAATTCGTGAAGTTCTGAGAAACTATATGTGACTACCACACAATAGGGGCCGCTAGTGAGCAGTTTTTTTTTTACATTCTCGAAAAGGTCGTGGGCTCTGACGTGTGTCCCAAGTTTTGCATCCGAAGCTCATTTTATGCTATCGCAAAAAAAAAAAAAAAAAAGTATAGGCCACGCCCACATTCTGCATTTGTTGCGACACTTTAAATCTCAGTTCGTAGTCACCCCCAGAGTATGTGTAAAAAAAATAAATACAAATTTGTCCATCCACTCTTGAGTTATAAATTGGTGGTGTTTTTGGCGGCCCCTATAGTCCAAAATGAAAATGCTTTGGTGTGCCTATTCCCCAAGACAGACTGAACCTATCCACCAAAATCTGTGATATATGGATACATTGTTGATGAGTTATGAGCATTTCTTTCTAAGCCCCGCCTTTTGCGGGTATGTTTTGATTCATGGCGGCAATATTTATCTTCTGAACATGCTCATTTCCTATGGTAAAGTGTGTTACCCTTCACCGATGCTGTATACTAAGTTTTGTGTGGAAAAACAAAAAATTGAAATTTAAGTGAATATTTCACTGTTTTTAACCTGTTACGCACGGCCCCCCCGGTACCGGGCGGATACACGCGTCATTTGCAGGAAACAACGTCTAAGGAATCTTAATATTTAATAAAACTATGAATGTTTTATATCCATGTAACGGGAAGAAACTCAGCTAACTGATCTTTTTCATTTTTTTTTCCAAAAAAAACCCACAATGCTAGCAAAAAAATGAACCTAAAACGGCACTTAAACTCACAATAACTCCCTTATTACTTATCCTAGATGCACAGCCAACCACTCGTTTTTGGTGTCCTGGAGACACTGAATCTAGTGGTGCCCACCTCAACACTCAGTGATAAACATTTGCGACGCTATAAACGAAAGCGTACATCATAACATGTGGAGCTAAGTAGCTAGAAACGCTAACATGGCTTACCTTGGTCAAAACTGGTCTTCAATGGCATTAAAACAATAAAAAAACGATGCTGCAGTTAATCCATCGGTTCATCCAATGTATCTGTGCCCTCTTTGAAATTATTTCTGATAATCCATAAGCAATACAACTGCTTTTTTGTTTCCAAATGCCAGAGCTAGAATGTAGCTCCACTCTGCTTTACATTTACATGCGCGCAGCCCCCACCTTTTCTCTTCACAATGAGTGTGTGTGTGAGCCTCCCCCTTCGATTCTATTGGCTCTAACGGTCGGAAAGAGGTGTCAACCATCAAAATCGAGCAAGGGGGGCCAGAGATATAGAAAAAAAAACATTTTCACCCAAATCACCTCAGAGGTGGGGTGGTTTTGGCTAAACCTCTCTAAAAAGGTCAAATGTCACTTGTTTTGCATCAATCTTGATACAGGGTACTTATTATATGTTGTACTTTGGATTCCTAAAGCTTTTAGTCTACTAACCCATCATCCAAGGGTAGTTTTCACTATCTGTAAAAAATAATCTTTGGACGGACACGATAATTTACAGTTTTTTACTATGTAAAATCTGTATTTTCTTTAAAATAAAAAACATTTATATTGATTCTGACACTTCTACATCCAACTCACATATGTAACCTTGCTTTGATAAAAGAAATTATTCATATAACCCTTTTAGAAGTTAAGTTGTAGTCATTTGTTTTGGGCATGTCATTTTCGAGCCTGAAACATGAAAAACAGGCTTGGTGCTTAACAGGTTAACATTATGCTAATTTAAAAAAAAAAAAAAGTAGGCGGAGCTTAGGGCTCCAAGAGGATTATTTGTAGAGCAGGTCAAGACGGATAAGTGTGCAAAATTTCAGGTCATTCCGACTTATGGTGCGACTTTGTAAATGTTTCCAAAAATGGAAATGGCCATAGGTGGCGCTAGAGTTTTTCACCGATCCTGGAATCCGTGCAAAATTATACAACTTTTGAAGCATCCTAAAGCCCTCAAAAACAGGAAACGAAAGTTGGCGTAAGAATAATTCCACCAATAACAATAGGTTTCCTCGCACTTCGTGCTAGGACGCCGTTGGGTCCTAGCACATCGTGCACGGGCCCTAATTATACTTTTAAATTAAGCACTGTGTACTGCATAATAGACCAACGCTTGTCTTTTCCCAGTTGTGCATCGTTTTGTTGTTAATCAATGTTTGTATTATCAGTGACCTGACGGTGCAACCAAAACACCTTGCACATGATCCTATATAGTAACCTCACTAACATGGGAGTATTTCCCCCATCAAGGTTGTGAGTTGTGCAGATTGGGACCAGAAGAACAACTGCCAAGCACATACACTTGTGGCAAAGCATTCTGGTCAGCAGGACAGCGCCCCACCCAAGCATGTTTTATTAGTATTATTAAAAACACACATACTGTTCATAGTAGTCACACAATAAAAAAAATAATATATATATATATACACTATATAGACATGCATACATACGCATGCATACATACATACATATGTAACTGTGGGTCTGCCGTAACTATAAAATCCTGAGGAGGAGGGAAGGCGTCTCCTCTCCTCTGTAAGGAGATACTGCTGCAGGACTTCCGCCCCGTGTAGCGGGTGTCTGCAGGATCAGTAAATGAAATCCAACATTCAATGATCTTTGGAGGCCATTGTGTATATTTGTGACTCTGTTATACTGCTGCTCCTCCCGTTAACTTCCAGACACTACGATCGCTCAACTTCTCTCTCGCTCGCTCTACACATGCACGCTCCACACACATAATATATATATTTTTAATTCTCCATTGCTCCTCTGCTCCTATGAATGTAATGAAATCTTTCGAAAGTTGTGTTGACTACAATACAAGTGTAACATGTCTCCTTCAGGTATACGAGTGTTGGTGGACGCTCGACAGAAGCTACGCATCCCATGGGGCAACCCGTCTAACCAGCGGCACGGCGACACCATGATGGCGTTTGACACCCGGTCGCTGATGGCCCACGGTCACGGCATGGTTGAGCCCAAAGTCTTCCTGCACTACCTGCCATCTATCCGGGCCCTGTGGGCTGACCAGGGCATCCAGAACGCATACGACCGCCGCCGGGAGTTCCAGCTGGTGAGTCACAGTGTCAGTCAGCAGCCAGATCTATCCTTCACCAAAGAGGAGGCTGCGGGGAGGGTTCTGAGCCGGGCCCGAGTTTGAACACATTTTTTGTGTTTCCACCGCACCAACAATCTGAATATAAACCAACAATAATAATGCGTAAAAATAAATGCCAGCTATCACTCCAGCAGTCAGCAAATGGAGCTGAATCGTAGTAGCATACTATAATAAGCCACGTCAGTCTGGTGGAGAGTATGAAGTTGGAGGGGTCTTGCCTGCAATTCAATCTCGCTACTGAATTTTATAGCAACATGAGCACAGCTCCACTGTTTCCGCCAACGATTTTACTGTGACGCTTGTTGACTCTGACGTTGCAGAAATGTAAACTGACATCATGAAGTGGCTACTACTGGGCTCTGGTCAGTGGAAAAGCAAATTTGGACCTTGCCCCAAACTAGCTCCAGGACGGAATTAGAATCGAACTGATTTCAGTGGAGAAATTGATAGTTGCGGGCAACTTGGTTGATGTATCAGTCCGGACCAAATGTACTTATTGCACATCTGGGCCAGAGTCTTGATTCCATATACATGTTCAAATGTTTGAGGGCAGAGGTAGGTCACAGAATTTGGTTCTGGCGGTGTGTATTCATTTATATCTGGACCATGTATTACTGTGGAGTTTGGCCTGTGTCGCATAGTGTGACATCTGTAATGCTATCCTCTCTCTCTCTCTCTCTGTTGCCCCTTTCACACCAACGCGTTTTCAGCTCCGGCTCGGAGCTGGAGCCTGAAAAGTACAGTTTTTTTCCTGTTCACACCGCAGCGGCGCCGCCTCTTAGCTCCGGAATGCGGTTCACTTCCAGCTCCAAAAAATTGTCGGTCTAGAGGCAAGAGCTTCGGAGCTAAGAGGCGGCGTCGCTTACGTCTCTCTTACGTCGAGGTGTGCAGGAAACTAAACCCACCTCCCCTGAACATGCCATGGGTCGACTGAAGAGTCTCGTCATGCCTGCCTACAAGCAGTAGCGCTGAGCAAAGTGACTAGAAGGCAACCACACACTTATAAAAAAACCCACTTTATAAAGTCAGGCAACACTAACCAGGCTTCTTGTGATTCTGTTTATTTGTACCTTACTTTGACCATCCGTTCGCTGTTATTGATCATTGTGGAGAGCAGGCAGACGTTTTGTTTGTTATTATAGCAGCTATCGGATGGAATCAATACATGGGCTGCACAGGTTGTCATGTCCGACTATCACAAGTAGAATCATAATGAAAAATACGCCGGTAAAAAGTGCCTGTAGAAAACGGCTTAGCAAGTAGTCAGTTTAGCTTCGGTTGCTATGCTAACATCACCCATGTTATACCAGAGAAACTTTCATAACAGCGTTGTGATGCCAAACAGCGTCAATTCAGACTGACTCACATTCACTTAAGGGGAACTGGGGATATGTATCAGCTGCTTGTGTGACAGTCAGACAGTGAATACTTTAGAGCCGTGTGAGCTAACCCGGAGCTAACGGGAGAATACACTCCCGTTGAAGAGCAGCCGGCCAGCACTGCAGCGGTCGGTAAATGCCGCTGAAACACATTAATAAACAATGAACCACGGCACTCTGGAGAAAAGTATAAGGTTGGAGAAGTCGTTATTTAATTTAATCTGGCTTCGTATGATTAAAAGCAACGCGATCATCGACCCAACGCAGTCCCCCGTTGTTGTTGTTGTTGTGAGCTCCGTTGGGGAGAAAATCAGCGATGTAAACGGTGACGTCATGACGCAGCAGCGGCAGCTCTGGGTGGTGTGAACAGAGCGGGAGCAGAAAAGGGAAACCGGAGCTGAACCAGAAAAGCTCTAGCTAGGAGCTAGGAAGGGAAAAGCTCTGGTGTGAAAGCCGCATGTATGTCCAGTGATTACTGCTGTTAGTATGTCTGCATGGCTCAGGGTGTACAGACGAGCATTGATAGCAGCAGATAAAGCTTGTCCTCACAGCTGATGGAGCAGCGCTGCAGCTGCTGAGCCTCACTCACTCGCTCGCTCACTCACTCACTCACTCACTCACTCACTCACTCACTCACTCACTCACTCACTCACTCACTCACTCCCTCACAGACAGGCTAATGAAGGGCTGCTTCTCTCTCTGCTCTCTACCCCCACGCCCTTCCTTCCTCCATCCCTCCCTCACTGCTCTCCACAAGTTTAGATTGTGGTCTGACAGTGTCTTGCTCTAAGGATAATGACATTTCAAGACCCTACCTGACTGTTTCAGTTTGCAGCAGCTGAGATGCAAAGAGCGATTTTGTCTGTCTATTGTTACTCTGCTAATACAGCTGATGTATCATCATTTTGTCATGCCTCTACATGCCACTTCTACCCCTGATTTTCAGTTCCCTACAACAACTTTTGCTTTGATTAAACTAGTCTGTAGAAAAATGTGCATTTCCTGACACCAAAGTGATTATGCTTTGTTCCCAGACAAACAAAATTGTCAGCCTCTGCCAGCAAGCGTGTACTTTTTGTCGATTTTCCAATATCAGTTAGTTTAAGAAGGAAAATACATACTTTTTATTAATCCCTAATGGGGAAATTAATTGTTCCACTCCGTCAGGTTTACACACGTTACACACACTGATACACAAACTGAGCCACCAAACATATTATTATTATTATAATTTTATATTAATATGGCATATTTATGTGAATGACTCGTATCGGGACATTACTGATACTGCTGTGTATGTATAGGGTGGCTCTGTACAGCAGAACGGCTGAAAAAAAAGCAATATTGCCATCTTCTTATGCATCAATAGCTTTCACATATGAGCGTGACTGAAGTGCATCATAATGTTAAAATTAAGAAAAATACATGACGCGGTTAAAACCCATTATTGGTCTGGGCTGTGTTTTTGGTCATCTGTGGCCAAAATGATTTCATGATACCAGAAATGTAGGCAATACCAGTAAAATTCCACAATTCAGGGTACCCCAGCTGAAAACAATATCTATTACAATATTTATGTATTATTGCTATATACAACATCTCCTTTCAACAACTGTAAAGTTAAATACATTTCTTGCCAAAAACTACATTTAACAAGACTACATTTGAACACATCATGGTGACGTGATGTTTTCAGAACTTTGCATTGACTTGGTATTGAAGCATAGGTTCTTCTTGCGAAATTACTTTTCCCAGTCTTATTTGTTCTTAATGTGAACTCATGTATCTCATAACCATTTCAAGTAAAGTAGAATAAAAAAGTTGCCTTTTACGCACTTTTCATAATGTGCAAGTTAAGTTAGCATAATGTCCATTTCCATTGTTTAATTTAACTGATTCAACAATTTAACCCTGCTTTCTACTGTTTGGCAAATGATTACTATAAGAAATAATTTCGTAGATTATTTTCAAAAGAAAATCAGAAGTAGTGATTGTGGGGGAAACTTCTGAAGCAATTGGAGTCAGGACTCAGAGAGACACGAGGAGAGCTGGAGCTTTTGATGGCAAACACTGACGGTTTATTTGGAGCTTCGGCCGGAGAATTCACAAGACATGTCCCGGGCCACGAGTTGACCACACGGTTGAGATGCCACAATCAATTCTGAAGAACCCTACCCCAGACCCATGTATTTAGCTAGTTCAGAGAGAATAATCAACATTGTGCATAACAAGATAGAATCATAACACCTCTATCAGCTGACGCCAACATGCAGGAACAGGGAGACAAAACACTGAGAGCACAGCAGCCAAGGTTACAGGTGCGTGTGCTCAGTCAGGACAGTATGAACTGATAAACTGGGTCAAAGTTATGGGCCTTGGAAAATATTCCCCCAACAGTTCCTCTCTTTTTATCAGTTTTGATAACCTAAAAACCTTAGTCTAATAATATTTTGTTCAATACTTAAATCAATGGGAATCTTCAGATTTGAGTGTGGACTTACACAACATCAATTACATCAATAACAATCACATTAATAACAACATAATAAGATTGAAACATTCAATCACAATGATTGAGACAGCCAATCATAATAAAGATTATCTCTCGTCAGTGTTTGGAGCATCTTTTGTCAAAAGCATAATAATGAACACATAAAATCACAGATACATAATAACAAAAACATTTATTTTAAACTAATATGTTTTAACATTTAACCATTAGTTAATCTCCTTTATCAAACTATAAAATCAAAACCAGCTTGCAGCTTAAAGATTTACTTCAAGGCAATCGCTAGTCAAAAGCATTTCAATCAATCAATGTTTATTTATATAGCCCAATATCACAAATGTTACATTTGTCTCGGTGGACTTCACAGTTTGTACAGAATATCAGTATGACAATAAAACTCAGGATCATAAGAGATCCAGTTAAGGTATAAAATCAGGATCATAAGGGATCCAGCTAAGGTATAAAATCAGGATCATAAGAGATCCAGTTAAGGTATAAAATCAGGATCATAAGGGATCCAGCTAAGGTATAAAATCAGGATCATAAGGGATCCAGTTAAGGTATCAAATCAGGATCATAAGGGATCCAGCTAAGGTATAAAATCAGGATCATAAGGGATCCAGCTAAGGTATAAAATCAGGATCATAAGGGATCCAGTTAAGGTATAAAAATCAGGATCATAAGGGATCCAGTTAAGGTATAAAAATCAGGATCATAAGGGATCCAGTTAAGGTATAAAATCAGGATCATAAGGGATCCAGTTAAGGTATAAAATCAGGATCATAAGGGATCCAGTTAAGGTATAAAAATCAGGATCATAAGGGATCCAGTTAAGGTATAAAAATCAGGATCATAAGGGATCCAGTTAAGGTATAAAATCAGGATCATAAGGGATCCAGTTAAGGTATAAAATCAGGATCATAAGCAGTGTGCGAAAAAGCACACGTCCCACCGTCCGGGACATGTTATTTACAATATCGGACAAGTAGATCTTTCAATTGACTTGTCCGGCGGACAAGTGACGTTTTTAGCCCTCATTTATTGATAAATTCAGTTTACAAAAGGCAGAACTCATTCGCAAATTGTCCGTGTCCGCCATTGTTAGTTTAGAATGTTAGTTTCGGTTTCTGCTTGTCGATTCCTAAGAAATGCCATCTCGCCGCTTTCTGTACTGTTAGAGCGGGGCGGGGCGGGGAAGTGTAGCACAGTGCAGGGTTGGGAAGCAAAAACTCGGTCGAGTAGGAACAAATAACAATTGTCGGTACCGGATTAATGGGAGAAAGGAAGCAGTTGTGAGGACAGGGGGGAGAGGCAAGAGAGGACAGGATCACGACCGAGGAGACGAAAGTAGAGAGCGTGAGAGAGAAGAAGCAGAGCATACGAGGCAGGCATGCGAGAGAGACGCATCATCTCTTACTCGTGATCTCTCTAGCTCTAGCTCTCAGCTAGCGCTCTCTCTCTCTCTCTATCCTATCTCTCTACTCGTCTCTTCTCTCTCTCTCTCTCTCTCTCTCTCTCTCTCTCTCTCTCTCTCTCTCTCTCTCGACACAGCGGACCCGCTGCCCGTTTAACAGCCTAATCTTTGTCAAACTTTCTTATGTTCTTTCTTTAACACGTAATGAAGGTTATTAACCTGTTACGCACCGCCCCCCCCCGGTACCGGGCGCATACTTGCCAACCCTCCGAGACTCCCGATTTCATTGCCCTCTCCCGGTTTCCTCCCGGGGTCATATTTCTCCCGCATTTCTCCCGATTTCTGACAAAATCAGATTTACTCAGGACTGTTTCCACTCGGACTTTAATACAGCTACACCATTGTTTGGTTTCCATGGTAGCGTAGCGCGCAACTGAAAGTCTGAGAGGGTGAGGAAGATAGTCACAGCAAACAGAACAAGAATCGACAATTCTATCCTCTGCTCACTCCTTTCCTGTAAAATACAGGTCCAGCCCACACATATGGTGCTACAGGCCGCAAGGCAGTGCACTTACAACTACAATAAGCATGTTAATGTTAATCTAATGACCGGGCGGATAAACGCGTCATTTGCAGGAAACAACGTCAAAGGAATCTTAATATTTAATAAACTATGAATGTTTTATATCCATGTAACGGGAAGAAACTCAGCTAACTGATCTTTTTAAAAAGAAAAACACAATGCTAACACTCAGCCTCTGAATTAGCCACGAGCGAAAAAATGTAATCTATCTCTGCACCTAAACTCACTCATAACTCCCTTATTACTTATTCTTACTTTTCTCTTCACAATGTGTGTGTGTGGGGGCCTCCCCCTTCGATTCTATTGGCTCTAACGGTCAGAAAGAGGTGTCAACCATCCAAATCGACCAAGGGGGGCCAGAGATATGGAAAAAAAAAACATTTTCACCCAACAACGACAACCGCCTCACGAAACGCTAAAATTGCTTGTCAAAATACCTATACCACAGGGCAATTTTTTTTTTTAAAGCAATATTTTTAGTGGCCCGAGCGGGCAAGTGGAAATGACGTTATACTGGCCCGGGGTCACGGCATGGTTGATAGATAGCGACTGCTGTGTATCCAGTGGCGTTTTTATATGTACAAAAGTGGTGGGGCACGAACAACTTGGATGTTTAGAGAGGGGGGGGGGGAGGGATACATACATACATACATACATACATACATACATGGAGTAAAGGGCACCATCACAAAGCTATACTTAACAATAGCAACAACCGTAATGCTTCAGCATTAAAACACCATAGACTGTAAATATAAGGAAAACACAGACACTCATCACCGAGGTCACAATATCAATCGATCCAGCAGAGCAATAGCCTATAGGCAAAACACAAGAAGATCAACAAAAGATATGACATCAAATGAACTTACCAAAGCTGAAGTAGATGGTCAACTTCATTCATTTTCTTTCCGTTTTACTGATTTTAATGGCTATACGCTGCTCTCTCTCGTCTCCTCTTCACAACTACACTTTCCGCAGCACACGTACTTACAGCCAATCAGCTCTGAATTATGAGATTACGTTTTGGTGGGGTTGCCAGCACTTTGCCCCACTTGTGATTATTTTTTTGCCGCACACATTGAATACAAAAAGACTGCATGTGCAGTGTAGTTTTTACAGCACCCATTCATTTTGACAGCGAGAGAGAGGGGCTAGATCCACATCGCTCGACACGGCTCAATAGGCACACTGTGGACACTAATTAGAAGAACGCAGACTAAAACAGCAATGTAGAGACGAATCAGACGACTAAACATGATCTTTAAATATATTTTAACATATATTTTATACATATTTTTGGAATTATTATTTTAATTCATTTCTGCTGACAGTAGGTGCCCACCTGCCCCTAATGACGAGTCGCCACTGTGTGTATCTCATGCACCGTAGATACTGTTTCACAGCTCTACAGACAGGCTGCCTGTTTTCACCCTCAATGGTGATGGGCCATGGTTTCACAGAAAAAATGATGACGACTTTAAGAGCCATGTGGAATGTGACATTCATTTAGAATTCTGAGTTGATGTCCCTAATATCTCTCTCTCTCTCTCTCTCTCGCTCTCGCTCTCGCTCTCGCTCTCGCTCTCTCTCTCTCTCTCTCTCTCTCTCTCTCTCTCTCTCTCAGGGCGAGTCAGTCAAGTATTTCCTGGACAATTTGGAAAAGCTTGGAAAGTCGGTAAGTTCCACCCACACTGCAGAGGCTCTGCTCATCACTGAGCCCAGTAGGCGGGGGGTGTGAGAAAGAGAAGTGAATATGTGCCTGTCCTCATGTCTCAACTCTGGGTCTCAAGCCTTCAGTATAATAATTCATCCTAAAGCCTGCTGAAATGCGCCAACGGAACATAAATCAGGAACCGATTATTAACCAACTGCTAATATTTCCACGGAGCAATATAGAAACAATAAAGATGTGCTCCTGTCCCGTTCCAACAGCCCATGGCGGAGGAATACAAGTTTTACACTCTGCATCACTATGGGAGTATACAGCTAGAAATGGGACAAGTCTTTAATGACTTGGTAGGCTCTGACTGAACATTTGATTTGGCATGAAGAGGAGGACACTATAATCACTTTCAAAACTACAAATTGCAAAGGTACAAGTCTAATTGTAAGTTCATTTTAATCCTTGATGGACACATTCTGCACCTCGGAGAGGAGAGAGCAGATCATTATTTCCGTTCGAAAAGATAATCCTTCGTGTTTACACATTTACATTTAATATAAACCCACATTTGTAAATGATCTGAGAGCAAAAGAAACAACTGATGGATCCTTCCTGCCTCTGAGGCAGCTGTTCCCAAGCTAAAACCAAAGCCAATATCAATTCATTTATTAGTCAGTTATTTCTATACTCGAATAAGAAAACAAGAGGATGATGTTTAACTGCATTGTCTTTGATTGATGATCATCTTGAGAATTCTCTCTTACACTCCACACATAAACAGCAGGCAAACACAAATGAGAAATGCCTAAACAATGAAGCAGCACCGTACTGTATCAAAATACACAGCTGTACTACTATCAACAATGAGCGGAACAATGAGCGGATAAAGATAGCTATTGCTCTATATACTACAAGCTAACAGCACATGTTTAACTGAAGACAGGAAGCCACCAACACGCCCCCTCTATAAAAACACATGCTTACTGAACACACAACACCTACAGACAAATAGTCCCCAGACATCAGCCTACAGAAAGAGCTGCTCTCAGGCACAGAAAGTCAGGAATTATTAAAGGCGAACTCAACCTGTAAACTGAGTGGGGCAAAAGCAGTGCTTCATTATCCCTTGGTCTAAAAAATGTAATGTCCCTGCAGGTATAATAGCCCCCTTAGATATACTCTGAGTCCCTCTTGTTCTAAATATTATTTGTTTAACAGGAACATGTACTCTTGGGTTTAAAACCCAACACGGTTCTGATGAACCTGTCATTAGTTTGTTGATGTTTTCCAAAACTTAAATCATATCCATTATTTGTGCGTGTGTTTGAGTGTAGGCACGCACACACTGGCTAAAGCTGTGTCAGCGATGGGTCGGAACCTCTGGAATGTTATGAATTCAGATCTGGTGTAGCCAGAGCACACTGAGAAACACACACGGTCAACACAGGATTGGAAAGAAATGTCAATCATTTTTTATCCAACATATTTAAGATGCACTTGGCAGATTTTCCTGTGATCAGGTTATCTCAGGAACTCTAAGTATTACTGTAAATACTGCACCAACGTCTACTTGGACTCACAGATTAAGCTGATTAAGATTTTGTGGTCAAAATTCAAGGTCACTGTGACCTTACAGAACACATTTTTGCCAAAGCTCAAGATTGGATATGCTAATTATTCACATTTTACTTGAATGTCTCATGGAAAACATTATGAAATGATGGCATTTCCGACGGACATGAATGTAACACACACACACACACACACACACACACACTCACACACTCACACTCACACACTCACACTCACACTCACACTCACTCTCTCTTGAAGCCCCACTCTTGTTTATGCTCTGTGGTATTTGAGGAATGCAGTGTTGGACAGGGATGTCCCCAAGGCAGCAGCATGGGAAGTGTGTACTGGGTTTATCGGGAACAAAAAGATCTGTACTACTCTTAACTCTGATTTAGTTTACGTGTTTCGGTGTGTAGTAAAAACAAAAATGTAAAGATCATTTACTGACAATGTGCTCTAGATGAGAAAAATATGCCTCTATTTACAGTTGTCAAAATTGAAACCCTAAAATACACCAAAACAGCTCATTGAATGTGGGACCTTTTACACAAGATTTTCCAATTTTCTTGCAGTTTCCATCCAAGGTCTGTCCAAAACAATAACACTGATCATCTGCTTGCAGGATTACCTCCCCAGCCAGCAGGACATCCTCCTGGCCAGAAAGCCCACTAAAGGCATCCACGAGTACGACTTTGAGATCAAGAACGTGCCCTTCAAGATGGTGGACGTGGGGGGGCAGCGCTCTGAGAGGCGGCGCTGGTTCGAATGCTTTGACTCGGTCACCTCCATCCTCTTCCTCGTTTCCTCCTCTGAATATGACCAGGTGAGGGAGCACGGCAGAGAACTCCTGAATGTTGTGTGGAAATATGTTACAGCACAGGGAGCTGCAGGGATCACCACTTGTTTTTCTCCTGAGGACCTTAGTGTGTTTCCAGGTAATATTACTACAGGTGGTGAGGGTAGTGGGGCAAAGCAGAAAAAGGAGTGGTTTTAATAGTTATATAAAAATAATATAAACCTGGATAAATGCATTACATAAAATATCCTTTGTTGCTGCTGTTATTAACGTTGTCTATAGTAAAGTGTTGTAATTGTCCTGGGAAAGTCTGGAATATCAACAATACATCTCAAAGCCAGTGGCGGGCATATATCTGAAGACATGTGGGGCTGACTGCCTGTTGCCCCTTGCATTTTCAATTACCATTTTAGTACTAAGTACTCAGAGTGGTTCTTTAGGAACAATGGCTAATTGCTAACTTGTCAGAGAAGATATATATTTTGTTTTCATATGAGAGGCGATGGTACTTGGTCCAGATCAGGTGTTCAGTATCTCATGCCTGTAAGCACCATGAATTCAGGCTCACACTGGGCTTCCTCAATCAGAGTTCACTCACACACTGGTGTGTGTGTGTGTGTGTGTGTGTGTGTGTGTGTGTGTGTGTGTGTGTGTGTGACATATGAAATGGCACATTACTGTATGCCAAATAATGGCTGTAAACATATATATGTATATATTATGATTTATCAGAGTTCACTGTAATCATTTATCCTCTTTCATTGGAATCACATCTTCATCCTTCATATCGAGATATCATGATACACATAGACATGAGGCCTGTACTACGAATCCAGTTCAACAGACCCTGGATATGTTTGAGTTACCCGGCTTATCTAATCCTAACAAACGCGCTCTCGCTAAGCGGTCCTACGACGCTGGTTATCAACTCGATAAATCAACCAGGGTTTCTCTGTCCGGCTGAGTGTGCTTTCACCATGAAAGGGGCGGGGTTAGCAACATTTGACCAATCACAAACATCACGTCATACTTCCTGAATGAAAAGTGAACTATAATATTAGGCAAATATGAAGAAGTTAAACTTTAAACATCCATGACTTAAACACTTTATCCAGGATAAAAGCCCCGTCTACAGCTGGTAAAAGAACAAGTGTTTGAATGCGTACATTAACAGGTTTATGATATCACTGCACTAAGACACAAGTGGATCTGACTTTAATTACATTTGACTCGAATGTTTCGTCAACTTAACGTGTTGCTTAAAATAATACTTCTGCATACAGTATGTGACACTGTGAGTGTTGCACGGCCAGATACGGCTCAAGAAGCTGACTCAAATAAGGAAATATATGATACATTATGATGTGATATGATGTAGGGATGGGAACGATGAATCGAATATTCGAAATTATTCAGGTATTCGAATAATTATTCAGGTATTCGAATATGAGTTATGAATATTTTTATTAATTTTTTTATTTTTTTTGGGAGGGATGCCTAAATTGATTACATATTATCAAATTGAATAATTCAATGTATACGACAGTGCCATAGCTAAATGTGTTAGGTGCCTCACAGCGGGCAGAGCTGCAGGTGCTGATCTCTCTCTCTCTCTCGCGTCCGGTTATACTTCACTCGCGTTTATGTCCAAATCCATCAGATCTAGCTAGTTCTAGCTAATGATATGGCTGCTGCCCCTCCCTACACGCAGATCACGCAGACTCAAACCTCATCTTATGCCCAAATGCGGCGCAAATGCGCTCCGCAGCCGTTGCGAGGTTCCGGCGCTAACAGTTCATGAGCGTGCTCCCCCGCCCCCTGTCAACACTCGCGACACATGAGTGGCCAGCCTAAACAACAATAAGCACTGCTTGGCAACCGTGTGTGGCGGCAAAGTACATAGACATTTTGACAGGAGAGATTTAGTTTTGCCGGTATTCAACATATTTTACCAGTCATAGTCAGGTAATTAATTACACTCTAAGAAGAGTCCTACACAGACATGGCGTCAAAAAGGAGTAATGTGTGGAAATATTTCGACCAGGTTAGAGAGTGCGGTGTAGAGTGCAAACTATGCCAAATTAAACTCATATATACATACTATACCTTGCTATACCCGCAACCTCCGTTCCAGCTGAGAGGGTCTTCTCTACAGCTGGCCTGATTGTGAATCGCCTCCGCACATGAAAGCTGTAGGCCTATAGCTGTCAAACTGTGATCACCAGTTCAATACATTTGACAAATTCGACTTGGTTTCTATACTTATTTGAACATGTATTTATTTATTTCCAAAACTTATTGAAAAAAGATTTTGGGAAAAAAAATGTTAGACATTTTTTTTTTACCCAATTTTTTTTTTTATAGGATATGTACATTTCGGTTAACCGGTTAACCGTTTTTTGGGGGGTCGAATATTCGAATATACATTTGCTTTCAATTTCCCATCCCTAATATGACACATCGACGTCTGCACTCACTGTGCCGCGGACTGTACTTAATGTTACTCTGATCCGGTTACTTATGTCGTGGCAGATATTTAAGTAAGCTTTCTTAACGCTAATATTATAATAGTCAGATTGCTCTGAAGATGGGAGGGGATATTCTATTCATTTCACGTTCACACAGTCAGGTCATTTTTGCCGGCCGTCTTTCCTGCAACGGCAGTTTTTCTGTATTTCCTCTATCCTGTAATATGAATTGATCGCTTTAAACTCCGCACACTGAGCTCTGATTGGTCAGCAGGCGGTGCTTTCACTGAGTTGATCTCTTATCCTGGAACCTAACCTGCTCCGGACCAGGGGCCTGTACTACAAAGCAGGATTTTCGTTTAGCAAGCTAACTTCAGGGATTTCCGGTCCTACGAAGCTGGTTCACTTCTTAGTGGGCTAGATAACTTATGCTGAGCGGCTAGCCTGCTCCGGACCAGGATAGGTTCCAGGATAAGAGATCAACTGTGCGTTCTTCTTCTTTGCTTTAATGGCGAATCGCTTCCACTTGGAGCATATATCGCCACCTACTGTTGATTTATTTAATGTCCATGTTAAATCCTTGTCCTCAGACCGTTTCAATAAGGATAAATCTATTACAGGTTGAGGTAGCAACCATGGTGGAACAGCTGATAACAACAGTGTGCAGAGTTTAAAGCGACCAAGTCATATTACAGGATAAAGGAAATACAGTTTAAACTGCCGTTGCAGGAAAGACGGCCGGCCAAAATCACCGACTGTGTGAACGTGAAAATGAATAGAATATCACCTCCCATCTTCAGAGCAATCTGACTATTATAATATTAGCGTTAAGAAAGCTTACTTAAATATCTGCCACAACATAAGTAACCGGATCAGAGTAACATTAAGTACAGTCCGCGGCACTGTGAGTGCAGACGGCGATGTGTCCCATTATCATTCATATCATATCATAATGTATCATATATTTCCTTATCTGAGTCAGCTTCTTGAGCCGTATCTGGCCGTGCAACACTCACAGTGTCACATACTGGATGCAGAAGTATTATTTTAAGCAACACATTAAGTTGACGAAATGGGACAAATTGGAAAATACTCAGTTTGTTGTTGTACCTTTTTTTTTTTTTTTTTTTTCTTTTTTTTTAGTATTTCATTCAAACAAGAGTAAACAGAAAGGACTATGACCATATCGTTTTATCATTAGAAAGGTTTACATATCAATATATACTGTTCTCCAAATAGATGGACTACATCATGAGTTGTATTTCTTTCCAGCTGAAAACATCGCTGAATACTTCATATTGCTCATATTTAATTCTGTGTTATTATTTTATCTGATCTCATTTGTGCCGAGTTTATTTTTCAACTTGCACGATTATAAATATTTTAACTCATTTTGCTCACTTATTGGATATTTTAAGTGGTCTTAAAATGATAGGTGGCTATTAGAGTAACCTGCCACACACACACACACACACACACACACGTTGTCGCTGTCAGCTTTAACCCATGCACTCACATGCACTGTCACACTCCAGGTGCTGATGGAGGACCGGCAGACCAACCGGCTGAGCGAGTCGCTCAACATCTTCGAGACCATCGTCAACAACCGGGTGTTCAGCAACGTCTCCATCATCCTCTTCCTCAACAAGACGGACCTGCTGGAGGAGAAGGTGAAGCAGGTGTCCATCAAAGACTACTTCCCTGAGTTCTCGGGCGAGCCCTCCAGCCTGGCAGACGTCCAGCGCTTCCTGGTGGAGTGCTTTCGTAAAAAGCGCCGTGAGAACCAACAGAAGCCGCTGTACCACCACTTCACCACAGCCATCAACACGGAGAACATCCGGCTGGTGTTCCGCGACGTCAAGGACACCATCCTGCACGACAACATCAAGCTGCTGATGCTGCAGTGAGGGGGGGAGCGGGGGGGAGCAGGGATAGGTGGAGGCAGAAGGAAAGCGGGTGTCCTGCAGGGAGCAGGCAGCCTCTCTCCACCCGTCCGTCCTCCCTCCCTGATGTGAGCGGCTCCTCTCTCTAGAACTTTGACTGTGTATTAAAGCCACCACTACTACAGCCATTCCCCCCCACACTTCTCTGCCTTACTGAGCTGCTTCACTAAGACTTATAACAGCCACCTTTGGCTCAGAGGCGCCCCCCCTAGCCTTGAAACCACTGTAAATGACCTCCAGCCCCCGTCCACAGTGAATCTGCACCCTGTATGATGTGTCCTCACTATGTGTTGCTTTAATTCACCCCACACTCCTCTCTGTGCTGCTCTGACCACTGTTGCCGGGGGGGGGGGGGGGGGGGGGGGTTAATCACTGTTACTGAGAAGCTGTTACCAGGTGTTGCCTTCCTGTTCAGAAGTTCCTTGGTTCCGTCTCCTGTTTTACATCTGCGTTCCACTGGCGCTTGATGACATCACTGTGGGGATTTCCTTTTTGGGCAGTTGAACTAACACACACACACACACACACACACACACACACACAGACAGATAGGAATAACCGTTCCAAAGTCCAGTTAATTCTAGTTTTTTCTAATCATTTGTTTATTTTCTAATATATGAATATACTGTTTGTACCTATGCATTTTTCTTTAACTTATATTTTAAAGGGGTTGACACTTTTTTTCTGATGGACTCTGTTACAGCTAACTGGATCCATATACCACTTGTAAAGTTAAACAGCGTGCTATAAGGGGAGCTAGTGCAGGGGTGATAGTGACACGTTGTATTTTGCAGTTTCTCAGGGCACATTGTTAACACCACCTGTCTGGTTTAAGCGAACCAGCACCCCCACTCGGTTCCACTATTCTTCTGAAGCTGAACTCTGGCCATCTCCAACCAGGACCACCCTTTAGCAGCAGGGGCTGCACTAACATAGAAACTGAGTCATTTTACCCTTTTATCACGTGAGCTATACCTACATACATTTGGATATTGAAACATCTTGTGATATTTCCATTCTGCCCATATCAGGATTGAATCTCAATACTCAAACTAGCTGTTTTTAAGGGTTAAAGCATGTGATGCAACTCCCAACCAAATGTGTGAGAGAGTAGCCCGCCCCCAGGCCCTGCACAGAGCGGTGTGGCACCAGAGGACCTTTCTGTTTCTTCCTATGCAAATACCATGATCCAGATACTTGGCACGTGAATTTCAAAGGGAATGAAGTCAATTTCTTCTATTGAACATATTTTTATGGCAACCATCTTGTGTGGAAAAAGATCGTACCCAAAGTTCCCATAGGAAATGTGAAAGCTGTCGATTAAAAGTTTCCCTGTTGATTTCATCACAGTGTCTGCGTCACAGTGTCTGCATCATGCGTCACAGTGTCTGCATCATGCGTCACAGTGTCTGCATCACAGTGTCTGCGTCATGCGTCACAGTGTCTGCATCATGCGTCACAGTGTCTGCATCATGCGTCACAGTGTCTGCATCATGCGTCACAGTGTCTGCATCACAGTGTCTGCGTCATGCGTCACAGTGTCTGCATCATGCGTCACAGTGTCTGCGTCACAGTGTCTGCATCATGCGTCAGTGTCTGCATCATGCGTCACAGTGTCTGCATCATGCGTCACAGTGTCTGCATCATGCGTCACAGTGTCTGCGTCACAGTGTCTGCGTCACAGTGTCTGCATCATGCATCACAGTGTCTGCATCACAGTGTCTGCGTCACAGTGTGCATCATGCGTCACAGTGTCTGCATCACAGTGTCTGCATCATGCGTCACAGTGTCTGCATCACAGTGTCTGCATCATGCGTCAGTGTCTGCATCATGCGTCACAGTGTCTGCATCATGCGTCACAGTGTCTGCATCACAGTGTGCATCATGCGTCACAGTGTCTGCGTCACAGTGTCTGCGTCACAGTGTCTGCATCATGCGTCACAGTGTCTGCATCACAGTGTGCATCATGCGTCACAGTGTCTGCATCAGTGTCACAGTGTCTGCATCACAGTGTCTGCATCATGCGTCACAGTGTCTGCATCACAGTGTCTGCATCATGCGTCACAGTGTCTGCATCACAGTGTCTGCATCATGCGTCACAGTGTCTGCATCATGCGTCACAGTGTCTGCATCAGTGTCTGCGTCAGTGTCTGCGTCACAGTGTCTGCGTCACAGTGTCTGCATCACAACGCTGCATCACAACGCTGCACACTGAGGCGCTCTTCACTAGTCCTGTTCAATTGATCATTTCCATATCTAAGATCCATGGAGTTACAGGAATTTCCAAACATGTCAAATGTGCCAGGCAGAATCTTAAGGTAATATGTACAAGCCTTGCACAAGATTAAAGAACATTGGTTTAAAAATGTCCTTCAGTGTAAATATCCGGTAACTTAATGTTTGGATAGTTGTACATAGTGAAACTGGTCTCATTAAAAGCTGTAACCCCTGAGGGCTCCGTGGGGCTGGTTGGAAATGGCCACTCACATCCAGGCCTGAAGCTTCCTCTCTGTCAGACATGAGGACGGATTTGTCCCTTCTCTCTCCCTGTAGGATTACCACTAAGTGTTTTGTATTATTCTGCAAGTGGTGAGGTGGCTCAGTCTGTTCCTTTGTTCAACAGATCATTTGTATTTTCCTGAAAGGTACCCGTGTTACTGCTTTCTGTCTCTCCTCCATAAGTTAAAAAGAAAGGTATTTAATATCCAGCCTGAATGTCACTAATGTCCTCATTGTCCTCTGGACTTCCGGTCATGTTTAACGTGTCCTAACGTGTCCTTATGTAGTTCCTAACAGCTGTAACCTTCCTCAGTCCTGTGTGTGTGACCATGAGCTTTATTTGATTTGAATGTCTGGGATGAGCCTGCTGCCTGCCTGAAGGTGTCTTCCTTAGCTTCCTCCAGATGTGAGGACACTTGAACACTGAAGTCCTCCATGTGGCTCCGATGCTCCCGCCTCTTAGATAGCTGTTCTGTAATCATTTTTTAATCCTCCATTTTGCAGAATGATTCAGCTTGCCTCTTGGATCTGATGTTTGTTCTACAACAATGATCGGCTGTAAGGTGGGACTGACAGATCAGATCATTATTGTCCCCTCAGTGCAGTCCTTCCAGTCACCCACTCACAACGTGGGTTAGCATGGAGCAACAAGGTCACATGGCTAACCAGGGTGTGTGTTTTCGCAAATCTAAGAGATGAAGCTGACCACCAACAGCTCAGTGAATTCCTAAAACTGCCAGTGTGTGCATCTGGATGAAGCTGTGTTTGTCTTTGAGACGCACACTGTCCTGCTGCTCAGACAGCCTGCAACCTGCCAGAGGACATGGAAAGACTTGAGGTCAGCAGAGCAGGCCCTGACCCCCACACAGCCTCCCCTCTGAACACAACACACTGTGTCTGTCTCACAAGGCGGTGCTTTACACCGTCAGCTCTATAATGGAGCCTCTGTTATGTCACATGCTAAACCATCATCAGCATAGAGTGCCGCAGGAATGAGTCAGCATATTAACACTTTCAAGTTGCTAACAAGTCTCTAAATGAGATAACTAAACGTCATCACGCCCAACATTAGCCGCCTTTAGCTTAGCGGTGGTGACATTAAGTCATGTTACCGTGCTGTAGTTCCTTATAGCCTAACGTTAGCTTTTTACTTTAAAAAAATCATAAAGTGGTGTTAATATGTGGAAATTATCCTGCTTAACGAAACGTGGAACTGTCAGACATGTGTTTACCAAAGACACAAATCCAATAGACAGCATTCCCATTCTGAACCGTGCATCTTACACTGAGCTCAGCGCTCCTCAGGTCTGACAGCAGAGACCACCTGCTCTGATCACTGCTGAAGAGCAGGAACATTGTTTGAAAGCAAAAAGCTGATGAGTGTTCATTTGGCTGTATATATATATATATATAACTATTCTTTTTTATTTATTGGTGGCTCTGCTGTCCCTGACTGTAAAGGTTCAGTACGCTTCAGACAAACAAACATACGTGAGTCGTACTCTTCTGCGTGTCTTTGCAGACGAACGCTGCTGAATAATAGTAAAGAAAATTACATTTTAAGTCTCTCCTAAATTATAATAATCTCATGCAGCTACACTAAGCCACAGATGTTTTTTTAAAGAAGCATTAAAATACATAGAGAATTAATACAGTGCCAAACTCAAGGATGTACTCTTCCAGTAATGATCTGTCCAGAACACACTTGCTCCTCTTAAGGATTATTTCCATGTGTCCATGTTAAACAGTGGTGGTGGATGTAAATGATTCCGAAAATAAGATCTGTGGCAGACGCACCTTTATGACACTTATACATGACTGCGCATCACCACCGCTAAGCTAAAGGCAGCTAATGTTCGGCGACATGTCTTTGAGTAGTCTCATTTAAATGGGACGCCATTATCGCCTCTCCTTTGGTAAAGTTGGTCCAGTGTTCCCCAGGTCCTATGAGATAAGACAGGAAGCAGCGGATTGGAGAGACTAAACTCATCATGGCTGACACTTCATACTCACACCTGTTTTCGTTGTGCCATGTGAAGGGGCCTTGAGCTTGCCGTTAGATGATGTGATCAACACTTTGAACAAACTGAGAGACCTGCTCAGAGTCAGCGCATGTTCACAGTCTGTCTCCCAGAGCCTTAAGGATTCGACACCAGATCCCAGGGGGCACATAGAGAAGAGTGCTAGATAAACACCATCATGCCGGGAACTGACACTATTCTGATTTAGGGAAGAGGCCTTCTTTGATTATTGCTTCCAAAGCTGCATGTGGAGCAGCGGTCCATACATGAACACAGATTCTCGTGTTTCCAACACCCTGCCTTTGACTTTGCCTTCTGAAATGTCTGATATAGAAGTTTTGTACGCTGCAGCTTCTGCTCTGTGACTTCTGGTTGACAGTAGAAGGTAAAGCTTTCTTTCTTAACCATGAGAGGACACTGTGTCCCCCTCCAGAGTCCACACTATGCAACAGCACTGCTCCACCCGTCACTCGGTGTTATTGTAAAAGTAATGATGATTTGACTGACTGATGATTCTCTTAAAGCCAGTGTCTTATACAAATGTATGTTTAAGGATCTGCCAAATATACTGATGTTTAGTGCCTCCTTCTCCATGCTCTGCCTCTACTGCCGTAACAATCCTGTTAACCAAGGTTTTATACTTCCTGTACTGTTTTAGGTTTTTTAAATGATGCCACACAGGCAGATAAAGCGTTTCTCCCAGTTTTGATATTTTAAGATAGAAAAGCTTTCCATGTACAGTCTAACTTATGCTGTCTTACCCTTCTACTCCTAAAACAATCAAACATAAATAAACTGTTTTGTTTTTTTAAATCATGTCTGCTGCCTGATTGGACAAGACCTTTTATATTTCATACTATCGTGTTTTTCTAAAAGATGCTAATGAGTTTTACAGCTGCAGCGATTCATGCAAACTATTCTGACAATCGAGGCTTTCAGTCACTTTCCCAGCAACACAGACCTCTGTCAGACTTTGATAGGACAACACAGACCTCTGTCAGACTTTGATAGGACAACACAGACCTCTGTCAGACTTTGATAGGACAACACAGACCTCTGTCAGACTTTGATAGGACAACACAGACCTCTGTCAGACTTTGATAGGACAACACAGACCTCTGTCAGACTTTGATAGGACAACACAGTGAGAATCAAATGTAATGATTCACCTTTATATACAGTCTCTGGACTGACATGCTGAGAGCCTGAGACATTTTCTTCAGAGCAAGGCGAAGACAATGACAATTCAAATACAATTTTAAATTGTGTGTGTGTGTGTCAGGCTGAAAGACTGAGGGTATACACTCAAATTGAGTCTCACTTTAAGAACTAGATTAAATATTTTTTGCTTCAATTAAAAATCCATTTGAAACCCCTCGAACCAGTTTGAATGATTTAGTTATTTATCAAGGAGAACATGATGAGGTTCGTGCTGACCTCGCCTAAAGAGAAACATGATGGTCCACTACAGCCAGAGCTCCTAACCTTCAGCATCAGACGGAGCCTGTTGGACGCATAATAGACTGTAAGTAATATATATCTCATCATGTATCAAATGTGGCAACTACACACATACACATGTGCAACTAAATGTATGAGTCTCGGATTATTTAGTATTTCAAATACCTTTATCCAAATCCATACCTCACCTGAATTTAAAGAAATGTATGAACAATCACACAGTTGACAAAATCCCCCACTAAAGCCATATTTTATTTAAAATACATCATGAAAGCAGCCCAGCACTTAACAGGCAGGAGTGGCCTTCAATTCAATAAAAAACAAATGATCATCATAATATCATTATAAACTGTTTGAATCAAAGTAAAACGCATTAAGAAAAGGTCCTCTGCGCAGACTGCTCACACAGGCAGGACGTGAGTGGGTTTGGTACGGAGACACTAGAAATAGTTGTGATTGTGGATTTCTGCATTCCTTAAACCATCCTTGGTGGCTGCCAGTGTTCGTCGTGGTTCTACAGTTTTAGGGGGAAATGCCTTTGGCCTCAGAGGAGAGACTTCTCCTAAAGAGGGGACTTCAAGCTTTTCAGAATGTGAGCGTCTCTGATGTCGTGCTGTTCACATTACAGACTTGTTGTTCTGATCCACAGCCTGTCTGAGTGAACTGTCCTCAGGGGCCAAGTCCACGTCCAAAAAGTCTGGCTGGCCACTGTCCTGCGACATTTTGTCCTCTTCCTCTGTGCACTTATCTTCCTCTCTGTTGGGCCTCTGTCTCTGGCACATGCCGGCCTTGGCGGGGCCGACCATGGCCAGGCAGACGCCGCTGAGAGCCATGCCCACAGCAGAGGAGAGGAAGGCAGCCCCGTAGTTCTGAGTGACGTCCACCAGCACTCCTGCAGGACCAGAGAGGGTTAGGTGGAGCTGCTGGACAACAGATGAAGGCATTCTTGTCTACTGGCATAGGAAAGGATCTATCGCTTGTTTGAAGGCCTTTACACACAGTGTGACGGATAAATGACATGTGAAATACTCACCTGCTAATACGATATGTCTGTGGCTTTTTTATAATATGTGGAAGAAAGGAGTGGACCTGGTATACGCTGCCGGTTCAGTTATACAGTGCGCCGTCTTCATTAAGACTGCAGAGCCTTGCTGTTGTTATTTTTGAACATTAATATATAATATAAATATAGATGCAACTCACCTGTACCAACAAAGTTTTGTGTTAAAGCCTTTATTTGCGATTGTTAAGATAACAAATTATTTCCTTTTTTCAAAAAAGTCGCTTTTCAGCTGCCTAATATTAATGCTCTGTGTAAAAGTAATCATGAGGATAAAATCACTTTGAAGATTATATTGACGTGAAAATGCACTGCTCCAAAATTGCCCTGGATGCGTAAGGCCGTGAGGGGGTTTCCCTGTGCTACAAACGCCTCCATGTGTGTGATGATAATGAAGGTGGACAGGGTAAGAGAGAAGAAGAGGAGTAGAGGATCTTTACCTCCTAGTGGCGGCCCTGCCAGCCCAGCAAAGCTTTGGATGAAGAGGTACACCCCCACAGAGGACGCCATCTTCTCGATACCAACCACTTCCTCCTCAGCCAGCATGGGGATGTGAATGGAGCCGACGGTGCCCACGAAGTAGCCGTAGAGGGCGCAGCACACCACCAGACCCCAGAACTCCCAGACCACAGCGAAGGCCAGCAGCACCAGGCTCAGCAGCAGCACGCAGCCCAGCAGCAGCAGCGTCTTCCTGCAGCGCACCCTGCTCAGCAGCACCCCGATGGACAGCCGGCCCAGGATCTCAGCCACAGCCATCACAGAGAGCATGTAGGACGCCAGGCCGGGCTCCACCCCCCGGCTCTTGCTCAGCTCGATGACGTAGAGCTGCGGGGCGAAGAAGCCCAGCGTGGCGAACATCCCAAAGAGGGAGTACCAGATGAAGGTGGTGTCTCTGAGCACAGAGAAGTCCAGGAGTCTAGGGCTGGGACGCTGTAGAGGACCCGCCTCCAGCTCTGCCAGCACCCCCTCATCCTTCTCCTTCACTTGGATGGTTGGTGTGGACATTGAAGACTCTTTGTCCTCATTGTCCTTCACCTCCCACTCCACCAGAGCCTGCCTCTCAGCTCCTGCAGTCCTCAGGTCTGAGCTGGAGGCAGAGAGGGAGGTGACCCCGGAGTCCTCTGAACCCTGGGACCCCCCTGAACTGATGGAGGTCCTGGTCTGCTCATTCTCCAGCTTATAAACAGTCTGCTGCTCTTTGTCTGACTCATGGTGCTCCTCTACAGGCTCCGGGTCAATAATGATTGGACGAAGGAGAAGCCCACAGCCAATCACACAAGCCTGAAAGGTTCCCAGGACAACCAGACAGTAGCGCCAGCCAATGTGTTCCTTCAGTGTGGTCAGAGCTGTGGACAGAGGGAGGCTTTATTGTTACCAGATAATCTCCTCTCTGTGTTTCCTCACTAAATGAAGTCCCCCAGACTGCTGAGCTGCTCCACCCAACTCTTCCGGACGTTTCTGTCTCACAAGCCAGTAGCCACCCTCTCTTTCCCTTCCATTCATCTGTTCCCCTTCCTCCATCATCTTTACCCACACCCCTACATCCCTTTTCCCTCCTCCTTTCCTGTCTCCACTATCGCTTTCTATTTAACCTGTCGCATATTTTTTGTCTCTTTCTAGGTACCGTCTTGGCGGCTTGTATTCAGAGCATGCAGAACAGCTGAACCGCCATCCAATGCAGGCCCGGTTCCACAACAAAATGACTCAGGGTGCATCTGAGATTAGAGAGGGTGCAGTGGTAAAGTGCTATTTTTATAAGTGGGGAGTGGACCTAACACCCTCTAGGGGGTCCTCACCTCCTCTGGGGGAGTCCTCACCTCCTCTAGGGGGGTCCGGGGTCATGCTCCCCCGGGAAGATTTTTTTTTAAATATTGAAGTTAAAAGCATCAATCTGGTGCACTTTGAGAGCAACATGAAGAGATCTATGGATACATCTCTCAAAACCATATGAAACAGAACTGTAAACAGATTAACTTTATGGATATTTTACAAAGCACTCTCCTTTTAAGACCGAAATGTCTACAGGCATAGCAGAAGATGGCATATTTTTTACAGGAAATTCCAGCCAATATCTGTTTTGAAACCAGGAGCTGCAAAATGAGCGCCTTACCCCACTGTACAGGCGAGTTGGGTACTTTTTAAAATATACCTGGGCAGGCTCTGTTTAGCCGAGGTCTTCTGGCACTTGCGGGCCGCCGAGGGGTGGCGTGTTTGGGGCAACGAAGGCGGCTGCTCCGCCTCCGTGGGCGAGGCAGGGCAAAGCCGGCGAGTCGGGCGGGAGGACGTTAGTGTCCACGACAGTGGCCGCAGGTAACGTAATGTCCCCATGATCTGAACTGTTATTACCTGCAGTAGATGCAGTGTTACTGCTGGCGATAAGGGCTGGTTGTTTTAACCATTTTCTGTTGTCCATCATTGACTGCTGTGTAAGCACCTTGCAGATGACGAACGCGCAGCGGCACAGGTCACGCGCACCTGACATGATAACATTACTTACCGTTTAAATTGACCAAATAAATGCAGCAGACAATGTTATTCAACCACAATTACAATTTATTTTATTTCAACTATATTCTTCTTATTATTATTCTTATTATTATTATTGTTATTATATATGTAATATTTTTCCCTTTTTTTTTTTTTTCACTTTTCATTTTTCAAATGAGGGTGTGATCCAATGTTACAGTTAGTAATTGGATCCCATTGATATCAGTCTGACTGTTCACTCATACACTCCTCAGAGCTGGATTCATTTACTGCTGATACTAACCCATCTCCTACTGCTGCTGCTTCACAAAAATGACTTGCGAAACACGGTGTGGCTTTGTGAAGCACTCAACGAGTCTCACAAAGGTTATTTGCAAAAAAACAAAGGTGTGTAGACACGTTTCTCTTTGAGGTGAATAGGGCCTCTTGCTAACAGTGTACTGAAGTAAATAACCTCTGCATTGCTGTGGCAAATTGTCCTCCACTGGATTTCCAAATATAGCTGTACATAGGAACAAAGAGAACTGGATACTGCGTTGGCAGCAGGGCCCCGTTCATTTCTATGAAAATGCTCAGTTGCGCATGAAGCCAAAATGGCCTGACTGTAGATACAAAAGTACCTCAGTAATCTGGGGATCTGAACCCATGGAATCTATTCATCACCTCAGGTCTCAGCTCAGTCGGATGAATGGAGAGGCTTTAAACTCATTGTATAACATGATCTAAATAAGGACCATAAAAGCGTTTGTACTGGGAAGTTTATTTGGCTCAAAAGAAATGATGTGCTGATTTATAGAGACTACCCTGTCCAAATGTAAATCAATAGGAATAAGTCTTTTTGGGCCCATGACGTCACGGACTTACATGGAAGTTGTAGTACTGCCATTTGGCCACTATCCGCTCACTTCCTGCTACTATCTACAAGAATATGGAAAACATTTAGCTAAGTTTCCAGTATTTCTCCAAGTCTCTCCCGAATGACTGAACTTCTCACCTTATCCCTAAGGGAGATGCCAGCCACCCTGTGGAGAAAACCCATCTCGGCCGCTTGTATCCGCGATCTTGTTCGGTAGACAGAGAGCTTTGCCTTCTGGCTCAGCTCTCTTTTCGTCACAACGGTGCGGTAAAGCGACTGCAGTACCGCTCCCGCTGCTCCGATTCTCTGGCCCATCTCTCGCTCCATTGTTCCCTCACTCGAGAACAAGACCCTAGATACTTGAACTCCTTCACTTGGGGTAAGGACTCATTCCCTACTTGGAGTGGACAGTCCATCGGTTTCCTGCTGAGAACCATGGCCTCAGGTTTGGAGGTGCTAATCCTCATCCTAGCCGCTTCACACTCGGCTGCGAACCGATCCAGTGAGCGCTGAAGGTCGCAAACAGATGAAGCCATTAGAACTAGGGATAGACCAATTATTGGCCTTTCCGATATTTCGGATATTCAGCATTTTACAGATTATCGGTATCGGATTTTTTTTATTGTGAAAATAATAATAATAAAGTTGGCTCTGAGAAAGTCGCATTTTTGTCTGTGGTCTTGAGCAATGTCCCGCCCACAGTACTATCTGATTGGTTACACATCACAAGTAACAACCTATCAACACTGAAGGCATCACGCCACAGATTTGCATTTGCAGACTGGAGCATCTGAGTGAGCGGTGTCCCGAAGGTACGGCAGCAGGTATTGCCGAAGTTACAATAAACACATGGCTCGACATTATTAGCGGCCTTTTTTGCTTAACAAAAACAAACACTAAACTCATGAATTCACATTATTTTCCTGTAGTACTGGTATTTTGTCAAGGAGTTTTGTGAAATTGTTTCGTTAATTACAGCTCAAACAAAGCGCTTCGTGATAGTTGGATGAAATGCAGACGGCTCCCGCGCAGATTCATATATTCATATCTACAGAATTTCGCGGCAACTTTTGATAAAAAGTTTTTAATACTGCCGAACACCCACCTGGAGCAAAGGCGAATATAGCGAAAGGTTCTCCGGAGGAAGCGACAGAGGTGACGAGGGCTCGCCGTGTGGAGAAGTACTGGGCGAGGATGGTGACGGTTGGGAGGAAGGTGAAGCAGTAGCCGAGGCCTGCAAACAAACGAGAAGAGGAGAAGGGGACATAACATCCACTGGCCCAAATGGAAGGAACACTGCATGGCTGAGTCAAAGATCAAGGAGTCAGGTCCATCCTTTGTCAAAGGTGGCCGGCTGCGTGAGATGATTCAGCTTTGCTACCGCTACTGCTGCAAGACAAAAGGCATGTAAAGACAAAAAAAGGGAGAGAGGGGAAAGGTTTTTAAGTTAGCTGCGGTCCATTTCAGAGGCAATTTATTCCACCTATTTCATTATCATCCAATCCAATTTCATTCAACTTATTAATTCACTCCTCTTCAGCCCCTTCCTGTTCCGACAACCGTGATCTGAAAGGGAATTGTATGTTTTCCGCTGCAGTGTGAACAGGAAAAAACTGTGCTTTTCAGGCTCTAGCTCCGAACCGGCCCTGGAACCGCGTTGGTGTGAAAGCCCCATCAGTCATGGACAGTTATGGAAGAAACAGATGTGGTTGTTAACACTGCTAGGAGCCCTTTTAGTTCATTTATGACCAGTGGTGGACTTATTACCTCCTACCTTAGTATAAAGTAGCAGGAAACTGAAATACTAAAGCAAAGTACCTCAAATTGTATGAGCATAACAGTCATACTGCAAGGATACACAAAGCCAGAAACACACATAAACGGATGGATGGACGGATGGATAGATGATGGATGGATGGATGGATGATAGATGGATGGATGGATAGATATCATATGTATGATAGATAGATATGTTAAGTACCTGAGATAACTCCAATGGTGACATACATCTGGTTGATGGACCTGGTGAAGGCGGAGCTGATGGTGCCCAGGCTGATGAGCAGGCCTCCCACCATCACCACTGAGCGGTGGCCAAAGCGGTTGCTTAGTATCGTGGCGAGGGGGGCTGGTTTGCACAAAAAAAATATATGAGTTGCACAAAACCATGACGTGGCCTCTGACCAATAAATAGTGGACATATGTATGTGCACAAAATACACCTGGTTACTCAAAGATGACTGGACAACATGTTTACATGCAGCGTAATAACCTGCATAAATCAACATTTAAATGCAGCAGGTCAGAAGCATATCACACATTTGCAGACTTTCATGCCTTCTTCTCTCTGTGTCTTTAATAGCTTGTGCATGGGTAAGGCTGGCGTCACACTGTCCCGACATTGACACCAGATGGACACACGAATATGGAATTGTGAATTTCGCACGAAGATGGCCCCGAACTTGGTCAACAGCCAAGCAACAGCCGAAGCAAGTACGATGCCTACAGAAGGCCACATGATGGCACTGGAACCACACACTCCATCATGTTGTTTCCATAGCAACAACAACTTCCTGTCAACAGCGTAAACTCGCCTTCAAAATAAAAGCATCTAAATAAAACAGGAAGTTAACCTAAATTACATTTAAGACATACAACTGCAACGAAAGTAACAAAAACAACGTAATATCCTTTTCAGTTTCACAGATCACAAATTGTACTATAATACGATGGCTACACGACGGCATTGCGAGGGCTTCACGTAGTCGTGTTGCCTTCCTAAGACAATCGGGCAGCTTCTTGTTTCCTTCGTATTGTCTTCGTGAGGCGAAAATGATGGCACCGATGATCAGACGAAGTAAAGACGAAGATGACACGATTTGACAAGATGCCCTCACGCTGGCCTTACGAAGGGCAAAATGGACACATGAATTCAACACGCAAATGAACCTTCGCAAGGTCTTTCGGCAATTTTTTGGCATGCCAAAGATTTTGCCACCGCTCACGAAGTTGCTGCCGGAGCCTGAGAAACTCCACCGGCGGTCATACGATGGCTTAAGATGCCCTCACGAACGGCCCGATGTTGTTACGATCAGAGCCGAATTTGAACATTTCCTTTATCGTGTGTCCATCTGGTGTACATTTCGGGACAGTGTGACGCGGGCTTAACTGTAGGACAGACTCTGTGGTAAGGCCACAGCTGTTCCTCACAGCACAAAGCTGTATTTTACAAATGCCACATTTTCATGTGCGAAGACAGACCTAATGAGTCTGAGGTGATGAAGTTACAGTTGTAGTTTCTGTTAAACATTGAATATCTCAAATGATCTCATTTAGTTGATCAATGCTGACTTTATCAGCAGAAAATGAATCGGCAACTAAGTAAGTCAAGCAGAAATTACTCGTGGTTCATAGTCAAATGTTATGTTACACTAAACGGTAGGGCTGCACGATATTGGAAAAAACAGACATTGCGATTTTTTCCCCCCTGCGACATACAGGAATTGAAGAAAAGACCGTTTTTTCCCCCGCAAACCATCCTTCTTTTAACTTTAATGCTATACAATTGGTATTTTTTTAACTATATTTAACCAGATGAAAGATTTTAGTCATGGACGTCTGGATCTTAAGTTATCAGAGCAACAAGCTGAGCTAGCTCGGTTAGCAGCGCCGAACTGCCCTGGAGAAACACATGAAACTACTTTATTCAGTGTTTTTACCTTTAATCACCGGGTCCGTTTGTTTTGGAGATTTGATTGTGATTGGTGGTTTGCTGTGCATGCAGAGCCTGCATGTCACTCACTCAAGTACCCCTGACATGAGAGCCGCGCAAGTTTTCCTTTTGTAGCAAGCAGCAAAATAATTGTTATAATAATAATAATTTTTTTTTAAAAACGTCCTGCGATGTGAATATCGCACATGCGCATATCGCGATTATCGTCACGACACGATATGTCGTGCAGCCCTACTAAACGGATTATCTTTGCATTTTGGACATTTGCCAGATAAAGCACACAAAGAGTGGTGTCAAGAGGTGTTAATATGTGGATATTATCCTGATGACATTTTTTTAAAATATCATATACGTTTGTTTGCCACTGATTTAATATTTAAGCAATATTCTAAAACCAAAGGAAACATTTAATTGTTTTTTGTGGAGGGAGCCTTTGTGATGCTAATTTCCTGGTCAGCGTACACAAATATGTCATCACTACTAATCTCTTAGCATGATGAAAGCAATCATTGGATGCAGCCCTGTCCGGAGTAATGAGGTCTCCTCCAATGTGCCGCTCTGCTCGCTGTCACATCTTTACTCTCTCTGAATAAAGTCTTTGTATTGCACATGTCTGTCAGTGGAAGAAGCAGATTACAAACTAAACTAAAAGAAAGGAAACATGTGAGGGAAGTGACTGACCAGTGAAGGTGAAGATAAAGACACAGATGGAGATGACCCATGACACCCGGCTGTTGCTCTCTCCAAACTCCTCCATCAGATCCTGGAGGAAGACACCCAGGCTCTTCAGGGCCCCATAGGTGCAGACCTCCACCAGGAAGAAGGCCAGGGCCACAGCCCAGCCCCAGCCGCCATCAGGTACCTCTGGGTAAACATTTGCAGCCAAACAGCGCTGGAAATAGGGCCCCCTCATGGCAACAGCACGCCACCTGGAGGAAGAAACACAGATGACATCAGTGACCTCATTTTAGACCTCATTCCTGCACCTCTCTTTAGGCCTTCTTTATTTTCTTTTTCATATTTGTATATGTATTTTACTGAGTTTGAATAGTTAATTTTGAAAGGGGTTGTACTTTGTCTTTAACCAATTATTAGCAACATGATAAATACACAGAATTACTTCAAAAGAATTACAATTAATTAAACATCACCATTGAAGTGTAACTTTTATAACTTTCCTCAAAAAGTGGAAAGCCAAGTGTATTCATGGGATCAACTGTCCCATCGGTCAACTCTGCCTCTGAATTCTAAGAAAAACGCTTTGCATGGGAAACTCGACTTCAGGAAACAAAACACCAGCTGGGTCAAGAAAACACTGGGCTATCTCCTCCCACAAACTTGCACACACACACGCACACACGCACACACGTTGAGAGTAAATCAAATGTTTTATAGTTATTACAGGCACAGGAAGCGATTTCTTCCTCTGAAATATGAACAGGTTTTAGTAGATATAAGTCACATACTTTATTGACCCTAATTCAAGTTCAAATACTTTTCTTGGCATCAGCCGTATCTCTGTACAGCTTAGATTTGAACTAAATGACAGACAGTTGACAACACGTATGGGAAAGGTGAACAGGCATCTATAATAATGTGATTACGCCTATTTGAGAGCATTTGGAATGGACTTTCCTGTCTGTGATGTTACACACTGTTTTTGACAATGTGATCCCGCAGTGCAGAGGAGCAGGGATGATGTCAGTGTGCCGCAGCAGCCTCACCGACCGGTGGCTTAACACGAAGAGTAGTCTACATTTACATAAGCCATTTTTCAGGTGATTAATACGCATATATTGATAAGATATATTGGCGTGTCAATTAAAGCCTGTGTTCTGGCTCGTTATTGTCTACTTAAAGTTTTCTTTGGAATGCCATCCTTAAGCAAGCGGGACAGCTGCCCGCTGCCGCCGGGCTCCGTGAGCTGCTGGCGGGCTCCGTGAGCGGAGCACACAGCATTCTCAGCTGCCATGATAACATCTTCATTTGACTTACCGACAGGTGACAAGAGAAGTTAGAAAAGCAGCCTTCTGGTGAAATAAGGCCGCGTTTCCTATCTTGTCGTCATTTCATTGTCACGTTGCTACCTATTTAAGCAAGTAATAATTTAAGGCAAATAGAAAAGCTGGTATTGTTTTGGTTTATTTTCGCTCTACAGCCGCATCTATCTCCTGTGAGTCTTGCTCCGCCTGTGTTGGCACTGCAGTCCTTTACCGGCTCAAGCCGGTATTCATACGGGGGCGCGCAACCTCCCCGGCTTCATGAACGCGCAGGGCGTTCCTCGTGGTGAGATATGAGAGACACGGGAAGTCCTTCTGCGGCGCGAGGATAGACTGTACATGTAAAGAGCGCGAGCTACATCAACAAATGCGGAACTGTTCTGATGCTGCGTTTAGGTGATGGTGAAAAAACATCAGGAATTAAGAGTTAACTACCTCAACGACATATCCTCAATCATAAATAGGACTGGAATTGTAAATATGGTCACAAGATAACATGTGATGGGAAAAGTTTTTATCGCACATTTAAATTGAAATGTATGTCGTTTTTTTGGACTCCTCAAGAAATTCCTAGAATATGGGCCTTACAAATAACTAATCTACGGCGTGTACGTGAATACAACTCCAAAGCAAACGCGTAATCAGGGCGCGCAGATGGGTTGAACGGGTTTGGTTTATTCCAGTTGAGAGAGGCAGCATCCGGTCCACCGTTCTGTGTGTGTGTGTGTGTGTGTGTGTGTGTGTGTGTGTGTGTGTGTGTGTGTGTGTGGTGTGTGTGTGTGTGTGTGTGTGTGTGTGTGTGTGTGTGTGTGTGTGTGTGTGTGTGTGTGTGTGTGTGTGTGGTGTGTGTGTGTGTGTGTGTGTGTGTGTGTGTGTGTGTGTGTGTGTGTGTGTGTGTGTGAGACTTCCGTTTAAACTAGGATAGACTGGGGCTGCGTTTCACTTGTCTTATTTTTCATTTCCTCGCTCCTCGGTCTTGGTCTCACCGGAAGTTGATTTGTCTGCGCCATCTTGAGTAGCGTCCCAATGGCCTTATTTTTGCCGGAGGAGCGATAATGGAGGAGCTATAATCGAGGAACCACCAGACCATCCTTCGATGAAATCCTCAGACACTCGCCCCGCCCCCTTACTGTGTATCGCTCACTGATTGGACGATGCAGCGCATGCACTGATCTGGTGCTTCTTGACATGAGAGCAGTTTCCCAGCGGAGTGAAGAAAACACATGAAACTCACGGGACTCACTCCTCAGTTCATACTGTGTTTTGTTTCAATTCATGCATCATTCAGTTACAAATATGTGATATATCTGAACAACAAAGTGGTCAAAAATTATTTTATTCATTTATTGGAAACATTTTCATGATCGCTTTTTCCGTTTTACATGTTCATTTATTGTCATTTCCATTCAGTCAGTCATTAAGTGCTATTTAACATGTTAATTTGCTACATATCCACACAAACAGACAAAGTGTGCAATCCAATGAATGTTAATCTAACTGGGTTTTGATAGATAACATATCTCTTTTTCTTCTCTCAATTATTTTATTTCTATTGTGCACTCTAATCAATATTAATCTAACTCTTGCTCGTTTATACATTTTAAGAATGGCGTTTATCTTTTTTGAGAATTAGTTCTTATTTGATTTGATTTATTTGGGTCTACAACAGATGATACAAATGTTTGTGTCAGTAAATGTATACTAACAGAGGCGGGGGTGTTTGTGAAAATAACGGGGACCGAGCTGGCTGCTGTCAGACGATCAGCTGTGCAGCGTCATCACAAACGGACGTCGCTTCACGTGACCCCCGAAGGAAAGGACGTCCCATTGCTCTTAAAACTCATTTCCCTGCTTCTCGTGGTTTCCTTGCGTCTCTCCATGCTTCCCTGGTGGGAGGGACTAGTCGCAGGGAAACGACGCAAGTGAGGGACGCAAGGAATCCATTTAACCGAAGTGAAACGCAGCCTGGGGCCCGTTCTCATTTCATCAAATGTCCCTCCTCGACTCCTCGGTCCTCCGGTAGTGACCCGGAAATGAATTTTAGCGCGCGATGTTGAAGGACATCTAATTTCTCGAAATGCACATCGAGGACCGAGCGTCGAGGAGGCTCTCTGGAGGAGCTAGGAGGGGGGATATATCCAGTCTCTGATAGTGTTACGTTATTATGAGAGTGCTCTGTTTGATTCTGAAATTGTATATATAAATATATACATATGTGTGTGTGTCTGTGTGTATGTCCGCATCTGTAGCCTGTTATTGTCTCATTATACCGCACTGTGAATGAACTAAAAGTAAATATATAAGTCGTCATGAACACATCTGTCCATCAGACAGAGGGCTGCTGTGCCTCCTGTCATCATTAATGGACGTCTCTTTAAAATGACCGCTCAGAGGAGAGGAGTTCTCATTTCTCTAACCGCCTGCTGCTTCCCCTCCTTTCTCCTCGGCTCCCCTCCTCGGCTCCTCCGCTCGCATCTCCTGTGGGCGGGACTAAGTCTCGAGGATAGGAGTCGAGGAGGGACATTTGATGAAATGAGAACGGGCCTAGGGCCGTGGCCGTTTCTCATAGGCTGCATCTCACTTCGGTTAAATGGAATCCTTGCGTCCCTCACTTCTGTCGTTTCCCTGCGTTTAGTCCCTCCCACCAGGGAAGCATGGAGAGACGCAAGGAAACCACGAGAAGCAGGGAAATGAGTTTTAAGAGCAATGGGACCTCCTTTCCTCCGGATCGTCACGTGAAGCGACGTCCGTTTGTGATGACTCCGCACAGCTGATCGTCTGACAGCAGCCAACTCTGCCCCCGTTATAACACCCCCGCCACACATTTACCGACACAAACATTTGTATCATCTGTTGTAGACCCAAATAAATTAAATAAGAACTCATTCTCAAAAAAGATAAACGCCATTCTTAAAATGTATAAACGAACAATAGTTTGATTAATATTGATTAGAGTGCACAATAGAAATAAAATAATTGAGAAAAAAAGAAGAGATGTGTTATATATCAAAACCCAGGATCTAGTGATATCCAAGCAACAGAGCTTCATTTAGCATGATACTTGTGTGGGTTGTACATGAAACCACTTGGTAATATATAAAAATATATGTATTTTGAGTTATGATCAATTGTGATTTAAATCTTTATCTAAAAAGTAAAGCTGATGATGGATTACTGTGGTGGAGTTAAAATAACAATAGCCTATTTCTCTTTGAAATGTGATGGAGTAAAAGGATAGTAACTGTGATTATTCATGTTAAGTACCCCACAAGTAACTAAAACGTATAGTACTTGAAGGAAAGGTGTAAAATGTTTCCATAAATACCAATATCACACACTACAACACAGACACCCCTTGTTGTTAAATACCAACCATGTGCAATATATTTGTAATTACATTTTCGTAGAGCTTTGACTTTTTCATCTGAATAAATATTATAACTAGATGGTTTTGTTCAGCATTGCCAGCTTCACTGTTGAGCTTTATGTTGTGCCCAGCATTCTCCTGTCCTGTGCTCTGAAATCAAAATGTGGATAAGCATAAAACAACACTAAAATAAACACTACAATACAACTTGTTATTTGTTTTTTGACAACAAAGGTTGTTCATTTGTGTGTATAAATATACAACACAGGCTATATGCATATACATATCAGGGATGCAAACTCATCAGGTATGAAAAAGGTGACAAGGATACGAGCCCCCCGACCCCACGGAATATCGGCTTTAAAATGAGGAATAACAGAGGATGTTAGCAGTCAGAACAACTAAAGCAGCAGTGTTAATAATAACAGAAACGCCAAAGAGTCACATCTAATAGAAATGTATAAAAGCATTTATTTTAATTGTGTAGCAGTCAGTTTATAATTTTGGCAGCACTGTTGAGCATTTTGAAAATGTATTTTCATGCCTCTGTGCAAGGCTTAGTCTTTCTATCTTTATAGCCACTGGTGTAAAGTAACTAAGTTCATAAACTCAACAAGTACTATACTTGGGTACAATTTTGAGATACTTGTACTTTATTTAAGTGTTCAATGTTTTGCTACTTTGTTCTTCTACTCCTCTACAGTTCAGAGGTAAATGGTGTACTTTTACTCCACTACATGTATGTAATACCTTTAGTTACTTTACAGATGTGGATGAATGATGTGAAATATAATCAAGTGTTAAATCAGACTGTAGTTCCACCTGGAGTAAATGCACAAGCTACCCTGCAGTATACAAAGTCATTCAAACTAGCTGCACCTTTACCAGCTTTGAGAATACTTTCATGATCAATCATTATAAAACATATCATATATATTATTCTGAAATGGACCGAAAACGACTACTTTTACTGTCGCTACTTTCACTATATTTTGATGAGAATACTTTTCTACTTTTACTTGAGGAACAATGCAGGAATTTTACTGTAACAGATTATTCCTACACTCTGGTACTTCTACTCTAGTACAAGATCCGAGTACTTCTACTTTTACTCAAGTACAAGATCTGAGTACTTCGACTTTGACTAAAGTACCAGATTTGAGTACTTCTACTTTTACTCTAGTACAAGATGTGAGTACTTCTACTTTTACTCTAGTACAAGATCTGAGTACTTCTACTTTTAATCAAGTACAAGATCTATACTTATACCACCTCTGTTTATAGCTGAAAAAAACTATTAGAAAACGAAGGCTAAAGCTAACGTTAGCAGATAGTGACAATGTATGCTAGTTAGCTAGCTCAACGATTCCTTAAATAATATTGCGACAGAAACATTTTTCTGTTCACATCACGCTCTGCCGCTCCAACAGGGAGCTCTGCTCTGAACCCCCGAACGGTAAGGCGATATGGGTCCGTTCTTATTGTGCATCCATGGGTAAAGGTAAAACCATAGACTGTATATATAAAGGGTAAAACGCATGTAGTACTGAACACGTAACATGAACCTGCCGGGCGGCGCGGTCCCGTGGGTTAGATGCGCATTCATAATGCAGAGGGAAATAACTCTCAGAATAACGTTATTAGCACATTTTACAACTTGAGGACCGAATGTTTTTAATAAGGGCTATACAAACGTTCATACTGGGTAGTTTATTTAATTTAAAAAAAATTATCCAACGATTTACAGACCACTCTTTCCCAATGTAAGTCAATGGGAAAAAGTGTTTCCGGGCCCAGCAACCTAACGGAAGTGTAGTACCGCCGTTTGGCCACAACGAATATTCTCATCAGAGTCCAGCGCACTTCCTGGGGGC